GATGCAATGTTTTTACCTTTGGGGGAATATTATTCTCTGCCCAAAACTGACAGAGTATGATGGTACAGAACAGTACAGAGATTAAGATGAGCTGGTTTATGTGCTCTCAGCAGCTTCAGCTGGTTTACCTCTGAATTCCAAGTCAAAGCACTCACTGTGTCTATAAAACTGTAAAATATGCACAGAAAATACTACTACAGGACTAGACTTTTTCTTTTAACCTTGACAAAAGCATGTGCTGAATTCCAGGTGATTATAACTGCACAGCTCCCATGTGCTGAACACTGTTCAGAGCTCTGTCTACTCTTCTCCTTTGACACCAGTAAGACATTACAAGGATAACTGAGCCATACTTTTCTTGCCACCAGATATTAGGACATTACCACAAGGCAGAAGAGGGAAGAACCAAGTTTAGCTAATACAGCCTGAGCTGATTCAGGAATCTGCTATTAGATACAATAGAACTTGTAGGCCCTGCAGAACCAGGAAAGGAACAACTGCAGTGCTGAATTCCACAAATATTTTGTGCTTCAAGCAGAAAACAGGCTTGTTCTCCATAAGGCTTAAAATACTGTCTTCCTGCAGCCTACCTGCACCACAGCTCAAAGCAGCAATCAAGGAACTGAAACTGGAAAAAACACCACAGTCCACATCAACTTAATCATAAGACATCAGTTTCCTAGGCACTGTGGAAGTCTCCTGGTGCCCAACAAGTGCTAGACTTTCCAGTTTCCCTTAAGACACGTTTCTAAATAGTAAAAGTTTAAAGCCTTTTCAAATTTGCTGTAGAAGCATCTGGATACAGCTCAGTTCCTAGGAGAAATAAATTAAAAGAACTTTGAATGCATCTTTCTTTGAAGGTTTAAGTTTCTCTAACATGCACTTTCTAAACATTTAAGTATTTTACAATAACAGACTGGTTACTCTTAAGAGAAGCCATATCCTTTTAACTTCAGTGCATAAGGTTTACTAGAAATCTAACACACTTCCAGACTAGCTGTAGCTACCACACATTTCTAGATGTGCACGAAGTTAAGAGAAAATGTGGGGTTTTTTTCTAGGGCTATGAAAAAGACCACTTACAAAATTAAACACTACCTCTAATCTTTCTCTACTCACCCAAGCAGGCATTTGGTGATCTGCCCTGAGCAGCCTGCAGGGAGGGGCTCTCCAGCTGCTCTCAGCCCTTCAGTGAGCAGCTCTGTTAACTGGCAGCACAGAGAGCAAAGCTCACCTTGACATCCCAGATTTCATTTAATCAAGCAATCCTTCAGTTGTGAATCAGAGTACACTGCCTGACAGGTCACATGCTCCTGGCTGCTACACTTTTAGAGGAAGTTAGGTTCTTTATTGCAAGATAGCCTGAATGCCAACAAAAACAGATGGAGAGCAGCTCTAAACAACCTTTCTGGCTGTGCTCAAAACTACTGTCATACAGCATCAGGAGATATCAACAAAGCCATGAGAAAGGAAATAAAGTGTTTAGATAAATAGGATAGTAGAGAAAATGGGACATAAAGCCCCAAATCAGGCTCCAAAGACACAGATACTAACAAAAAATATAAATGAGAATAATCAATATTTCCATCAGTTAATAAACTAATATTTCACAGACAAATTAGAATAGCAAAAGGGTAAGTTTATACATTAAAACTCCACCAGCTAAAAAAGGCATTTATTACTGGAGTGATGCTCCAGCAAATTTACAGACTACTTTAGAAAATTTAAATGCTGACATATTGAAAAGTAGCCTCCCTGTCCACCTTAGAAAGGTTAATTGTTAGTCACTTGCAAGTGAACAGATTCCAACCTCTTCTATTTGTAAAGGGTTTTGGAGCATTGTGTGAGATGCTGCCAAGAACATAAGTTCATCAGAAACACATCAATCTCAAATGACACCCTTGAAATGTTCCCATCACTTGAAACAAACAACTCTAACTGTGTACTCTGTCTGCTGGGCAATACCAGAGCACTTAGGACTAATAATAAAGGATCCAACACCTTCACTCCAACTGCTTTCAGCACCTGGGCTGGCAAAGACAGGCAAAATGTCTCCTTCAAGCTGTATCCACAAATGTTCTGTAGGAGTTCAACTGGATTCCTTGAAGACAGTGCTGGTGAACAGGTTTCTCACTGTGAGATCTCAAAGCATTCCTGACTAAGAACTAGTTTGAATATTTTTATCCCAAGGAACAAAGTTACTGTGACATTACTGAATAAAACCTCACTGCAAACTGTGCTTCCTGTAACCAGGACACCTTAACTGTGCTCACCGTCCTTTCCATTTTCCATCTCATCTTGGATTCTGTGTAAATGCCATAATTTGGGGTATCATGTTCAGCTTCAGACCACTCATGTTATACACACACTGAGTACTTGGGTTTTCCTGAATGGGCTCAGGAGTTTGGCAGCTGGCTGAGTTAACTCTGTACAACTGCATCAAGTGGAGCCCTTCCAAAGGAGCAAGGAAACTGGATGTGTTTAGGAAGTTGTTTGCAGAGGCAAGAATTGTTAGGTATAAAATTTGGGTTTGTTAGGGACACAAGACAGGTTAAACAGAATGTAACCACTACAAAAGCAAATGGCTCTGTAACTACTCATAAGGGCAGCAGGTAATACCACCTCTGGGTCTGCCATTGCTGCCAGGGGACTAAAGTCAGACTCCAAGTCCACCAAAATAACTCTGGGTGATTTTCTGTAATTTTCCATGTTTGAGGTTTTTTTAAAGGGGACGTGACTCTTCATAAGATGAAAAAATCTTTAGAGAGTCAAAAAAGCTTCTGATATACTTTGGTGATAAACTGTCTTCAGCCTTGTTTTTGGAATATGTGAATTACATAACATGTTCATTTTTGGATTTTTCTTTATACTTTTTGTATAATCAAATGTAAAGAAAAGCATAAGATAACAATAAAGCTGAAAACTTCAAGCTTGTGACATTCTCTGACAAATTCAGTTTCCAACTGTTATATTCAATAAAATCTTTCCTCAACAGATTACAAAACAAGAGGTTTGACATTACACTTTCCCACAGTGATAGTTTTAACATAACTATTACATCTTGCATCACAGAGGAACCTGTTTATTCCTTCTTCAATCAATCACCACACATTCACTTTAACACTGAGCAGAAGCAGGCACAATTTTACCATCACTTAGATGATCCTGCCTGAACAGCCCAGATAGGTTAAAAAACCCCAAAGGAAACAACTCTTCTACCTCAGGCTGCCATGCAGTTGTTGTGTTGGTTTTAGTTTATTTTTTTCAATTAAAACACTCTGTACTATGACTCTTCTAGAAGAAGGATGAGCAGATTAACATCACACCAAAGTCTATTTTTTTGTATTCTGAGGGTTTCAGGACTTGTGTAATCATCTTCATAAAAAAAAAAAAAAACACCAAGGAAAAAACTGTGGTTTAATTCTATGCATCTGGATTTATCTCATAGTCTAAAAAATGTTTTTAACATACTGATATATGTTAAGGGCTGCGGGTAACACTAATAACAATACTAGTGGGGATAAGGATGCTATTAGGACAAAGTTTATTGGTATAACAATGAAAAAACAGAACCTTAAATAAATTCAAGGTCCTTTTGTGTTGGCAGTTACAGTTGGAAAACAGGACAGCAATACATTAAGCAGATATAAAAATAGGAAATTGACAAACTAGAATGTTGAAACAGAAGTTTCCCAAATACAAACACACTAGAAAGCCCAGAGGCTGTAATTTAAAGAAGCTCATACTTAAGCCTTTAAATCTTTTATCACAAAATTTCTTCAGGATGTTCTAATGCAACAGTTATTCTGACACAATGGAACAAGTAGGCTGAGAAGATGTGGCTTGTGTCCTCTTATAGAAACAGAAAGTGACCATAATTTAACAGATTTCAGAAAGCTTAGAAATTATTAGAAAGGGGAAAGGTAAACTAAACCATAGCACTTGGTAAACCATAGTAACTGGCATAAATATACAAATACTGTTTATACATCAACTGTACACTTTCTAGAAGTCATAAAGTTACCTGACCAAGAGATTTATTAACTTCTTGTTCTGAAGCCTTCTGAACTCTACTGTATCTCTCACATACACAGAGAGAGGTATCATAAATGTTTCTGTATTATTTGAAGTGAAAAAACCTCTGATGTTTTACAGGTATGACTATCCCAGAAGTTAAGATAATGCTCAAAACACTGACTGGGCTGCCAGTGTCTGACAAGCAAAAATTAGCACTGAAATGAGCTGATCTTTACATTGATAAAGATCTCTGGCTAAATTTGTATCAGATTATCCAGTGGAGTAAAAGAGTCACAGGCATTCCGCCTTTCTGATGAAAGTCAGTAACATACCAACTTGTTTGTTTTCCAAGCAGGTAACACAAACATACAGAAACGACACTAGGCCTCATTGCTAGGCGAGGGGAGGAGGAGGTTTCTGACACACTGTGCTCCCCGGAGCTCTGTCCCCACCACACCTGACAGATACCACCTTTCCATGAACGCCAGGGTCCTCCGGGAAGCTGCACTACAGGCCCAGCGCCAGGCTGCTGGGGAAGTCCTGCAGCAGGTCGGCCTGCCAGCGCGCCTGGTATGTCATTTACAGCGCACCCACACACCCTGCGATTAACTTCACTTCGCCTTTAATCAGTTTTAGAGGCTCTTACGTGCTCCTGGATGCGGCGCGGCCACCCCTGAACAAAGGGAGGCAGGCAGGGAGGGCAATCCCTTCTCCTCCGCCGGGGCGCAGGTACGCGGCCCCCGCAGCCTCCCGTTAGCTCGGAGCAGGTTCCCTCCCTGCCTCCCTCGCTCCCCGGCTCGGCGGCCGGCCCGGCCTCCCCCCAGCCCAACGCGGTCTCCCCGCGGCCCCGCTCCGCTTCGCCCACCCGCGGCGCCCCGCGCCCCGGCGGCGGCTCCGCCCGGTGCGGGCCGCAAGCGCCGCTTCCGGAGCCGGGGCCGGGGCCGGGCCCGTCGCCTCCATTTTGGGCCCGGTGCGGAGCTCACCTGCATGCCGGGCACTTGCACCGCCACGGGCGAGTGGGCCATGGCGGGCTGCGGCGGCCGGGCGGGCGCCGCCCGCTGCTCCCCGATCTCGGCCTCTTTCTCCTGGGCGGCGGCGGCGGGGCCTGGAAGGACAAAGCGGCGGGGAGGCGGCGGCTTCAGCGCGGGCCGCGCTCCCTCCTTCCCTCCCCGCCCTGCCCGCCGGCCCCCGCCCGCCGCCGGCTCCTCACCTCGCGGCCGCGGGGCTGCGCTGCGCGAAGGGCGGGCGGGGGTCGCTAGCGCCGCTGTCCCCTGCCCGCCGGGCTCCCCGCAGCGGCCCTGCCCATGCCCCGCTCCCCCGACCCGGCGCGGGGGCGGCTGCTCGGGGCCCCCCGGGGTGGCGGCTCTCGGCGCGGCCGGGGCTGGCTCAGAGCGCCATGTCGGGCTCCGGCTGCAGGCGGCGGCTGCTGTGCGGCGGCTGCTTCCGTCTCGGCTCCGGCCTCGCGGGGCGGAGCCGCCGCACGGCCCTGGCGTCACGGCGCCCGCCTCCCCGGGCGGGCCGGCACCGGGGCACGGCGGACGGAGGGAGGGGCCCGGGGACCCCTCAGCGTCAGCGCGCCCCGGGCTGGGGGCTGCGGTTGCCCGCGCTGTCACAGGGTGATCGACAGATAGATTGGAAAAGACCTCTGAGGTCATCGAGTCCAACCGAGGGCCCAACGCCACTTTGTCACCCAGACCATGGCACCGAGTGCCACGTTCAGTCTTTCCTTAAACACCTCCAGGAACGGTGATTCCACCACCTCCCCGGGATGCCTGTTCCAGTGTCTAATCACCCTTTCTGTGAAGAAATTCTCTCTAATGTCCAACCTAAACCTCCCCTGGCACAGCTAAGATCTTATCCCCTTGTCCTGTCGTGGTTCCCCGGGAGCAGAGCCCGACCCCTGCCTGGCTCCTCCCTAAGCGTCCAAACACCCCCAGCTCCCTCGAGAGCTCCCATCACACTTGTGCTGCTCCAGGGGTTTCTCCCACTTCTGTTACCCTTCTCTGGACCCGGTCCAGCACCTCAATGTCCTTCCTAAGCTGAGGGGCCCAGCACTGGACACAGCACTGAAGGTGCAGCCTCACCAGTGGCAGTGCTGACTCCTCAGGTGCTGCCATGGGGTCCCTCCTGCACAGTCACAGCACTGCTCCTCGGCCCCACTGTCCCCAGCACCCCATCACCCCTGTACCCCTGGCTCCTGCACCCCAGAGACACAGGGTACAAATAACCGAGGGAATATTTCATGGGGTTTACTTGCTTTTGTGACAAAAGTGATGTCTTGTCTTAGGGATGCTCCTGGCAGCTGTGGCGGAGGTGGTGAGGACAGGTCCAGTTGGTCATTGGAGGTTCAGCTCCCAGTTCAGGGTGGTTGGCTCTTTCTTGGCTCACCAGGGGGGTTCCCCCTTCCTTGGCCAGCTCTCCCCACCCTGCACCGGCTGCTGCAGGGCTGTCCCAGCACATACCTCTGACCTTCACCTGCTTTCCTGTCCCTCACCACCACCTGCTTTCCTGGTGAGGTGGGCTGCCCCAACATTCTACCAGGGCCTGGAGAGGGGAAAATAACAGTGTTTTTGAAGTGACTTTTTCCCCATTCATGCATGAGTCACACATTAGTGTGTGTGATTCACGTTCCTACACATGTAAGTTTTGCCAGTTACTGAAGCAAAGCTCAAACTGACACCTTTTATGGCACTGGTCTTCCCCAGCAGCCCTCTGAGCAAGAGTACAGAAATTACATAGATCCATGTGATAATATCCTCATGGGTATGTGAGGGCTTCCCTCAAATTCACAGGTTTCTAGGTGTAAAAGCCAAGAAAAAGTAAGGTAAGCTGGAGGTGTTGGATTGCTGGCTGTAGCAGAGCTGTCCTGCTGAGAGGGTGGGTCCCTTCAGAAAGGATGTGACAGCAGGCGGTCTCCCTCCCTTAGGGCTCAGAGGAATGTTGCACTGGGCAAGGAACACAAAACACCTCTGTTTAAGGTAAGGTTGTGTTAAAACAGGCTGAAGACAAGAATTTCAAAGTTAGGCAGTCTTTCCATCCTTACCTCACTGTGGTTTGAACCAAAAAACAAACAGTAATGTTTGTTAAACACGGGCTTGTGGATCATGGTGGAATATTTTTTTTCCAACTTGCCAGTTTGTTAAGCCTTTACTGTTACTAAAATATTTACTTTGTTCTGCACTTTTTTTTTAAAAATAACATGACTTAAAAAGGCTTCTGTGTGATAGTTATACATCTAAGATACTTATGAGCCTACCCTGAGTTCATTTTAATGCATGGAATGTTTAAGGTAAGTATTTGCTGAAAGTTGATACCATATACTTAAATTCAAAAATGTTTTCCATTAATAAACCTCTGAAAAGAAATGGGGATTTCTACTGACAAAAATCTTTCTTAATTATGTACAGTGTTTCAGCAAATAAATGAATGACTATTCACTCACGGTACTTCTGAATCCTGCCTGATTCATTCTACTCAAATATACTTAAATCACTTCTCCTGCTACCTTTTAATAATCTTTAGAACATAAGCCCTGAAAAAATCCTGACAAATGAAATAGGATGATTTTTATTTCATGCTGCTGCTGCATTGCAGAACTGCTGCTCCTCTTCTGGTTCTGAGGCTTTGCTTTTCTCTTTCTATCCATATATTACCTTTTCTCTCCAGATTCCTGCTAACTGTTTATATCAGCCTTGTCTTGATGTTATACATATTTTCTCTCTGTTTACTTTATTCCAGAGAATATTAATTGCCAATCCGTTCTTCCTATTTTGGGGCCGTATACTGAGACTTTTGGCCTTTTACATATTTCTGACTTGCATGCAGCTTACTATAACATGAAAGGGACTGTAGCAGATATATTTAAGAGAGTTCTACTTCTGCTCTTGCAGGACAACTGTGAAGCATGTGATAAGGTACTCTCCCCAGCAATTATATCTGTAGCTGTCTCCTGTGCATGGCAGGTTGACCAAAGGAACTGCAAAGTGACAAAAACACAAAAGAAAAACATCCTGTGAAAAGGCAGGACAGAAAGCCCAGGAATGACATGGTGAGCAAAGCCAGGGAGGAAAACCTGCCAGGGAATCTTAAGTAATCAGCTGCTCATGCAATGACTGAATCATTGAGCCAGGCTGTGAAGTGAGGTAGACTGGCACCATAACATCTAAGAAAAGGGCTGTAATATTGTATTCCCCTCTGTAATTAGCAAATTCTAGTTTGTGCATTAAGAAAGACAGGTGGTCAGTTGCTGATATTGCTCTATGAAAGACCTTCCCTGCTCCCTCCCAGCCTGCCCTTTAAATACCTGGTGCTGCTGTTTTCCAAGACTTAAAATGTGTCTATAATTCACTTAGGACAGCTCCCAGGGCCTCACAGTAGCGATGTGACCCAAGTCAGACCTTCAACTGTTTCATGTTTTTTAACTACTATTTTTGTGTTGCTGGTGTGAAAATATAATTATTTTTACATCAGAAGACTGCAGGGAGCTATCAAAACCACAGAGCTTTTGGAGAGTGCCTGCACCATGTTAGTTGCTTTTGACCTATCACAAAAAGTGGTAGAAATGTCTCTTAAACTTTCAAATGTAAATGAATAAAATTATATTAATTAGAGTGCTAAGCAGAAAAATACTGTATTTTACAGACTCCAAAGTCTCCTCACAATGGTATGCTGGGGGGAGGGAGGGAACAGGTATCTGATCTGATTCTAGCAGAGCTGATGCAAACTCATACATCTCTCTAAAAATATGATGCCCAATTTCTATGTATCAGGATAGATCTGGGTGTTGCAAACCCTTCAGTGCCTTTGCCAAGCTCATCTGGCTGGTGCTACACTGACCTGGGCTTGTGGTGACAATCCCATGCAATGCATTTAGAGGCACCCACAGTTCTCCTGCCTGGCACCCTTCTATTAAAACAAGCAGCACAGCTAAAGGGTTGTCCCATAAAAGTGGAATTCAGCATCCCAAACAAGTAGCTTCAAATGCCTTTCATGATTTTAAGTCTGAAACACCTTGCCAAAGATGTTGTGGGAGTTAAAAGTTGATTGGAATTGGGGGAAAAAGAACCACATATTTATTTTATTAATGAGAACATCAGGGATGTCAAAGGAAGAATTAAAATGTTTTTGTAAGAACATAATTTTTCAATCCTTTGACATAAATCAGTCTCTGATTCACAGGCATTAGGGAAATCACTTTGTCTTCAAGGCAACTTATTTAGGACCTTCAGAATTTCCAGCACTGGAAGCTGCTGATACTAACTCATGGGAGACAAATGTACTCTCTGTCAATCCCATAGCACAACTTTGACATCTCTGTATCCAATAAATAATTTAAAATTATAGAGCCTTGCAGCTGGACTAGAACCCAGACCATGGTACATTCACTTCTGCTCACCACCTTCATTCCCATGCCCAGGACACATCTTGTTTCATTCTGCAGTATTCTCAGTATCCCACCTTCCTTGCAGCCTCTGCAGCTCTCAGTTCCCCCAAAGGAGGCAGCTCAGTTGTTCTGTAGGACACCAGGTGCATGGAGCTCCTCCAGCTCAAATGGATTATTTAAATAATTCAGCTGCCAAAGTCTACCACTGCCAACTGAGTGTTAAAAAATTGAGACTTTCATGTAACATAGCAAAACCATGCATTTTCCCCAGGAGACAACAGTGGCACATGCTTGACATGGGGATGATGCTCCACATCCTCCCTCAGAAGCAAAGGGAACAAAATGATATTTCTTAGCAGGGCAAAATGATACATCTTCTTGCAATCTTCCTCTTAGAAATGCCTGAACTATTTTTTAATTGACACTTCCTGTGTTTTTAAGGAAAATAATCAGGCTGAGGTAAATGCCTAGGATGGAAGAGGTGGGTGAAGGATGCTGGTTCACCATCTCCTTCAGTGTAAAGACTGAAGATCATTAAATCAAACAAGCAGATGCCAAGTTCAAAACAAACAAAAGAAGGCACTTCTTCTCACAGGGTATAGTTAAGCTGGTGAACTATTTGCTACAGGCCAAAAGTGACTGGACAGTTTCATGGAAGGAAAAAAAAAACTCTAACACTGGAAAATACTGTTTATAAAACTGGCACCTCTGACTGAGGAATCAGGTGAGCTGCAAATCCTGTCAGAGCAGTGCAAGCACTTCCCCTGCTCACTCCATTCTCACCCACTTCTCCAGCCCTGCCTCTGGCTCCAGTCAGAGATGAGCTGCTGTGGTGGATGGGCTTTGTCCTTGCATGATTGGCCTGTTCCATGCAGAAGTTTCAGCCTGGAGGGTTAAAATTTTGCCAAAGTACTCAGCTGAGATGGGAGGAACTGCCCTGCAATGGTAAGCAGAGCTACTTGTTAACAGGACCAGGAGACACAGTGCCCATGGTACTAGATGAGTCTGTGGCACAGGAATTTTGTGCTGACATAATCTTTAATTTTCCATAACATGGAAGAAAAAAATCAGTGAGTTGTCTTTATGAGGGCACTAAGCTGATAGTGCACATGTGTTGTACCAGTCTGGTGAATGGTGAGTCACTATGTTCCTAAGGATTATGATAAATTGGATGGACTGTTCACAAGTTCAAGGTCAATATTTCCACCTTCAACACAAAAGATCCTTGAGCCAGTTAACTTTTTATTTCAATGCATTATTTGGCTTAAAGAA